ATTTAGCACCAAGGTTGCACAGTAATTAACTACATCAGCGCATAGTTTTGATTACATTCTGCGTATTTCATTGCGTTGCAATGAGTGAAAAGTGTGTTTGCTGACTAAACGGGGACCAATTTGCTGTATAAATATTTGCATAACTACAGCTATTAGGTCTTATTACCTAGGCCAGGCTATTAATGACATTATTGTGTATGTCTAGGTTATAGGTTTTTTTGGTCGCTCAAAATTCTCTTGTTCAATACCTATCTAAGGTGTTTTTTTTTTTTTAGTAAAACCATTGTCTATTGGATACTGAAGTAGACATCCCATCTATATGGACCAGCTGTCACAAATGTTTTGTTTAAAAACCATAGTGGGGGCTAGTCACAGAATGCGTTAGTGTCTAAGACATAGTGGGTCATAACAGTTGTTATAGCTCACAATTAGTCGCCAGTTTGACCAGTAAACAAATTTTGTATTCAACAGAAATTAGTTATTTAGGTCAGCACAGTCTGTCGGTGGCCCACATCAACTACGACGATTTTTATTAATAAATTGGCAACAACTTTAACATGAGGATGGATTGTCAATTTGATTCAATAATCAAAGGTTAAGACTGCTTATACTCTTGTAAAAAAAACTTTTCTCGAAGTCTTCAAACTATTTCGTTGTTTCATTATTCTAGCAGAGCTGTTATCGACAAAGGAATTACTGTTCCTTGTTACCTTTCACTGTGTCCACCATCTTTGGACCTTAGATTCCTTTTGAGCTGATAATAAACATTGTAGAAGTGAGTGGAGAGTGGCACTCTATATAAGTCTATGAATTAACATCAAGTTGCCTTTGACATTACAGTGGTAAGGTCACGAATAGAAATAACAATCACATATGAAACGTATGGCAAAGTCCAAAGATTATGTTATCATTTTTTATTTTTGCATTGTTGTGAAGACACTAGGGAATGTTTCACAAAGATTCACCTATATTGGGTCTTATGATTGAAGTGCCCAATCGAAATCGACCACCATTACAATTTTTCATATACAGTATGTTTACTAGTTGTATAGTTGTAAAGATATACTTCAAGTGGTAGACTTATTTTTAATTACTTTAAGTGAAATTCATCACAATTTAAGTACATAATCCTTAATCTACCAAATTACTTTCACTATACATGGGTACATAGGCACCATACGCTCAAAAAACGTGCAAATGAGACTGATAGACTAACAAACAATTGTCAGTTTTCTCAACAAAAACCTTTCTGTAAATAAGTAGGCCAAACTAAAAATTACAGAAAAGCTGTAACTATTTAGTGATTTGTTAAAATATATTAGCCTTCATAGCTTCATGAGGAATAAATGGGAAAAAATTATTGTTAGAAAACAAAAATCATGCTTTCCAGTAAAACAATTGCTTCCCAAGCCAATCTTATTCTACCAATATGTGCATTTTATGTAACTTTAGGCTGTTGCATAGATGCCTCTATAGAAAGGTTATAGAGGGGGAACTAACTGCCAAGGATGCAATACAAATTGTCAGTATTCTTATTCAATTGCTATTTTTCAAGGAAATTTGGTTTATTATTTGTGTATTTCACTCAAAATGCTTTACGTGTTCTCTTTTACAACGCTCTAAACCCCAGTCTTGATACTCCTTAACTTCGGTCCTTTACATAATCAATGGTAGCCTAACGACGAATTGCACCTGGATCTAGAATCAGCTCTGCTTGGGATCGAACCAGCGACCTTCAAGCTTGAAGGCTAACCACTCATTACACTAGGCTACCCAGATAATATCTACCTATACTTGTATTTTTGTTACTATATAGAGTTGTTATCATTTACTTCATGTGATGTGATTGCTCGAGATAAAATCGTTATTCCCCCAGAACGGTTAAACATTTTCGTCCTACCGATGACTATTTTTAGCCACTCAACGCTACAGTGACTGTTTTACTAGTCCAAATTACAGTGAAAGGAGATAGTAAGGACACACTGTCACTGTTACTGGTATGACATGTGCAGTCACTGAATAAGGCCACCTCTCAAACTGTCAGCCAAAATTGTCATCCGCCACTCACTATTTCATTGACTTTGGATACTGTACACTATTGTGAAATTTTAAATGGAGTAAAGAGAACATTGATGATGATTTTTTTTAAAGCAGTTAATTACTTTTACTTCCATAATAGAGGACAAGTGCCAGTTATCAAAAAGGTAGTAGTCGATTTGGAAATGTATGCATATATTTATTTATTGTGGTTGTATTATTTTTTTAACTGTTGACTAGGACATAATACATGTGAACGGAGAAGAAATAGGATATCCAATAGTCAATGCTAATAACGTAAAATCGAACTTTGCTGATCCACAAGGATGATAACTTATACTACTGTTATCTACACAATCTGAAAAACAATTACTACATACATCTTTATTGTTTATTTATACCTACTTCAATCCTGTGGAATTATCGGATTTTTACAATGGATAGGAATATACAGTCTAGAATCCTGTACAATTCTAGAATCCTGTAGAATCCAATTACAAATATTTGTAAATAAATTTACATATGTTGTCAAAAGACTTATGAGTTCATAATACAACCAACACAGTTTTCACAACAATATAAATACGAATAAATCAATTACAAGATTATTCTTGTTCTACAAAAATAAACTACCAAGATCAATCAAATTTTTAAATTATTGTTATTCGATGGTTTTCAAGAAGTATGCCTTCTTAGTCACCTACTGAAATATGTTTGCACTATCTGAAAAGTTCATACTATACAAAATAGTACAGTAAGTTACATACAATTAAACACAGATAACCAATTCTGATGATAAAATAGCCTAATATTTTGTTGTTTGTTCACCAGAGTTATCATTCAAATGGTCAAAAGAGAACAAAAGCAATTTCCATAAGTTTTTCGTGAATTTCCCTAGTAGGTGAGGTGGCACGGTAAGACCGATTTACCTAGGTCCGGAACGATTTACTTTTTCGTTTTGAAGTCCCCAGAGGTTAAGACACCATTCGGTAAAAGTAAACGCGGTAACTTGAGTAATTTTTGTCCGATTTTGATGAAGTTTGGTTTGAAGGTGTAAAGCGGGATAAACATGGATGAGTTAGCGAACCAGCATGATCGGACCATGGGAACGAGGTTTTTCGGAGGGTTCTATGGGGCAAAAGTTGGCTTTTCTCATTTCTGACCCTCAAAACACAAACTTTCCCAATTTCTCTCTAGACCTTTTTTAGAGAACTTAAAAAAATCAGTATATCAAAGTGTTTTTGTACGGTTAAAATTTAAAAATTTGTGATTTTAAATTTCCCATGTTATTCTAATGGAGAATATTGTAAAATGTTGTAGTTTGCTTGTTTATGGATATATTTTGATAAAACTTGGCAAGTTTATTTATTTTATACTAAGCTATTAATATTTTACTAAAAACACGCTCTATTAGTTTCCCTATAGCAGCAAATCTAGGTTCTCGTTAAACCTAATGTTATTTAAATAGATTTACTTGAAAATCAATTCCGGCAAATGGAAATTCACCTAGACGGCAGGTTTACTGCAGCGGGGGTATTTTAATTACCGGTATAAAAAATCGCATGTAATTCTGCTGGGCAATTTCATTCTTATCAATACTACTATAGATATGCTGATCTAATCTACCAACTAATCACTTAAGAGGATAAATTATTACTGCTATTATGATTCTTGAAATAAACCATTACCGAAGTGATTTCACTTCTGCGAATCCACATCAATCAGTGAAAGCCACAGCGAGCGCCTTGACAATGAAGTATCAAATCCACAGCAAGCGCCTTGACAATGAAGTATCTCACATTCGACTACAGAGGCTTTAATTGTCTGCGTCATCCTCACTTTCGAGTGTCAATGTCAAGGCTTCTTGCAACTCAAAAGAAGCGTCTGTCAAACTCGGAACGTTCCTGACTTGTTGCAATGTAATTAGTTCACGAAATCCAAAATGTTTAGTAACATATTTTAAAGATTGTTTACTGTAGTAAACAAACTACTGTAAGTTTTACTGCTGTAAAGCTTAGTGTTGGCAAACGCACTCCATGGACAAAATAGGCTACAGCTAATTAATCTACATATTGTTACGAGTCTCAAACATTTTGTACGGCAACTATAGTTGAATGCTTCCTTCATCATTTCAGAATGAAAAAAATGGTTATTTACATAGATAATGTTCTGCAATCAACTGAATTTATTTCTGGATGTAGTTGAACGCATTTAACCACATATATGAACAGGGATGGTGTTTTTGAGCAGGATTGACGTTGGTACTGCATTCTCATAACATTTTCTTAGTCCAAAGTCCCAGTGTATTCTTGAAAGGCTCAGCACAGTACTCGTCATGGAAAATTCATTCACTTGCAAAATGTTTGACATAGAATCATGAGAATTAGTTTTCTTATTTTTGCTCAAAACTGTGCAGTGAACCTTGCAGTGAACCCTCCTGAATTGTGAGGGCCTATGCATCGAATTCATGATTAGACTGGAAGAGCTTTTCTCTTCCGAAACATGGGGTTTCAATTAGTGTCTCAGTATCGTTTTGATCTCTTTGAGGTATATTCCTTTTTGAGCATTTTCTTTAGTAAGTTCTATGGCCTTGATTGTCCGGTAAAAATTTTACTTTAAAAAAATACTCACACACGCTTGTCAAAAATCTAGGTCCTTGTTTTTTCAAACGTAACTGTTATTGAAAACATGGAAGAAAAGACAAAACAAAAAACACAAGAAATGCTCGTGCCTGTCGAAATATGAGGGGTGTTAAAATACGTCCCTTTAGATGGTAAAATAGAATAATTTCAAAGACCAAGTCTGTCTCCGCCAATTCTATTTCAAGTACTGTAGTTACGTCGAATCTTTGGACGATAGTCTTCAAATAGTTTGGACTCACCCAAACTATTTCAAGGACATACTATTGTGCAGAGAATATTATTCAAAATACCTCAGCAATAACCTTCAATTTTCTTTTCCAGACTCGGCAGCCATGGCGGAGTCAGATCCTATATCAGCGGCCATTGGCGATTTTGGCCGGTGGCAGTTCATGCTGACGTTCCTCCTATCACTGTTCAACTTCCCCTGCACGTTCCACATCTTCTCCCCCACCTTCCAGTCGGCCGTCGGAGACTACTGGTGTGCCAGGCCCGACCATCTCATGAACCTCTCGGTAGACACGTGGAAGGAGATCAGCGGCAGGACAATTATCAAGGTACGCTTGATGTGGTCAGATTCAGATGATTTCTTTGGCTTTCGTGGCTGGTGTTAGAATCCATAGTGTTTTCGGCGTCAACCGTGTCGTCAATTGCAGATTGCTGCCAGTTTTGGTCTTACTTTTAAAAGGCATCCTTAGTCTTCAGGCTACTGAGAATGCCTCTTTGAAGTAAAGGGCGAAACCAGCAGTAGTCTGCAACAGACGACACAGAAAACCATTATGGATTTTTAAAGTCAGAGTCACATTGACACAAAATGACTTCTCTAAATTTGAAAAACTGTAAATGTATTGTACTTTTGTAAAACCTTAGATTTCCAACGTATTTGCACAATGCAACTCAAGGTATCTTAGTTAAGACAAGCTTCATGATTTTTTCAACGAGAGGAAAACGTTATGAAATAAGGAGTACTATCATAAAGAGTCCTAGCATTGAACTTGAATGGGGAAATAAACATTCCAACACCATAGTTTCTTACTCGAAGAATAAGGTTAATCTCATAATGGTTTGAATCTCGCATAGAGGTTCCTACTGTTTTTATTTCCTCTGTCTTAGTTGATGGGGAAATAAAAGATTCTATGCTTTACAGTGAGATATCCCTTCAGTTTTGCATGGTTTGAGAAAGGTCAGACTATGTTTATCAATGTTTCAGCAAGGGCTTAGCAATGTTCTAGCGAGCTTAAAATATATAGAGTATTTAGCGATTTTCCAACAAAGCTTAACTTATGTTTTCTCATTTCCTGTTCCATTTCAGAACGGTATAGAGAAGTATGACACATGTTGGATAAAAGATGTGGACCTGAGCGACATGACGGCGCTACTGAACGCCACCTACGCCAAGTACAGACGCTGTGACCGCTGGGAGTACGACGAGTCGGCCTTTGGCAGGAGTATAGTCAGCGAGGTCAGAATCTTCAAATCATTGAGTGTATTTTTCTTTTAAAAGCTCTAGTCTGATGTTCTGATAATTTTTATTTCGTCTTGAGAAGCTCACTATACCTAAACCGTGTAGTCATATTTTAATGGCAAATTTGAAAAAGGCTTTTATCACTGTCATGAGACCACAGTGGGTTCTCAGTTACACCATCCTTCCAATCTGTGGTGCAGATGTTTCAGTAAGTGCGTGTTCTAATACGAAACTCCAGTGCCTTTAGCCAGTTGATATGTAACGACAAAGCTTTGAAAATTTTGGGTCTATTCGAGGTGAATAAAAAGTCATGACCCACCCATATTTAGATTTTATATCTGTATTACTTAGAATAACTAAGAGATATCCTTTTGGTAGTCATGCAATCTTAGCAGGAAGTTCCATTTTATGGTTTTGACAATTTTGAGTGTCCCCCAAAAATTGGGGATTTTGGGGACAACTCAAAATGTTTTATTGTAAACCCCCTTCAAGTGACATATCATTTGAAGTGTTCCCAAAATCACCCTCACACACACACTACACACACACAATCACATTAATCACATTGTCTGTATATTTACTTAGAAAAATATTAATTGGGGGGTCTTGAGTTTTTATTCGCCCTGTATAGATAGTAATACCCTATTTTAGATTAAATACATCTTACTTTGTCTTGGATAACTTCACCCACTAAAACTCATGGATAGTAAATAAAAACATATACGAACACACATATTAGCATTCATGGTAATGTATCCATTGGAGGTATTCCACATAAAAATCTCTTTGGATTTACTTTATAATCGATAAGTATCTAACTCCGCGTTTGTACAGTGGGACCTTGTGTGTGACCACGCTGGGCTGACCGAAGTGGCGGAGATGATGTTCCTCATAGGAGTGGCTCTTGGTGGTATCTTCTCAGGATATTTCTCAGACAGGTAAGCGTTATACACGGTCATGATGACCGAGCTTTGCTCACATTCAGTTTGTCTTAACACTAATATCTTAATATGTAAATAAGTAAACCACATATTGTGCATACAAAATTAGTTCACTCGATTAAAATATCTATAGTAAACTGTATCACCAAACAGAAACATACTTTCTCACTGTAGCTTGTCAAAAACCCTTACAACGAGTAATTGATGGAAGAAACTATGATATTTCATGGGTAAAATCCCAAATATTTCAATATCTTTTGAACCAAAGTTTTTATAGCATTGGGGGTTGTACCATTTTGTTCACCGTTAAAAATACCATTGAATAGTATTCTTTTCAAAACTGTTTGAGTTGTTTCTGTGGAAACCTTATTTGTCCGATTTCATAGTTTTTTTGAGGTGAAATTGCCACCAAAAATCTAAATTTCACAAACTTAAAGAAAACCTGGAGATATTTAAGATATATACCCTGCATGCCAAATGTCGTCAGTATCGAATCACAAATGCCAGTCTGTATCCATGTACACACCCTTACGCAAACACATACATCACTTTGATAAACACTTTTTGGGTTTAGGGAGACCCAAAACGAACATTTCCACCCAAAACTCAAACTCGAAAAATTTGACAAAAACAATACTTTCTCCAAATACTATGTGTGAGGGGAGAAAGTAAAAATTAATTCCCTGAGTTTATAAAGAGAATTTTATTGTATACATCAGCACTCAAAACCTTTTGGTATGGTGCCCCTCTTACAACTTTGATTGTTTTTTACCTACGTATCAAATAGTGATTCTATTTTTTTAAGTGCTGTACTAGTGTTAGAATATTTTTTTTTACACTTGATGAATGAGTAGATTGAATTATATTTTTATGTTTTTTTTATCTTGACCATTTTTAGTTTTTACCTGTTAATTTAGCTTTTCCGGTTTTATGTAGTAACTATATGAAATGAAAAATCGACTACCTATTGACATTGATTATTGAATTAAAAGTCAGGTTTTTACTGTTTTAAAATAATAGCTAAATACAACCGATTTTATTGGTTTTAGTTTGTTGTTTTTAACTTGTGTTTCACTAAAAGATAATAGTTTCTTTAAACTGTGTTAAAAAAATATTCCGGCAAATCTGCTCTTTCCCGACAAAAGCAGAAAGCCTTCAATATTAATGAGGCAATGTTGCTGCATGAAAGTGTACCTGGCGTTTGTCGTATAGTAAGGCGCTTGTGTAAACTCGTTCCCCTGTTGGATTATTTTTATTAAACCTGATTTTATTATTTTGATTTGATTTTACTATTTTTTTATTTCATATTTTTTTCAAATATTTATAGACCAATTTATTTTTCAAGATTTGTTGACATATATTGATATAGTTCAAAACATGGTAAAAAGTAAATATTTGTTTAAAGTTTTTGTCATTTCGTGAAGATAAGATGGTTTATATTCATTGTTGTATTCAAAAGGAAAATACTACTCTCAGCTTTGTCCACTTTGTAATATTAAATGTGAAATTGAATAATTAAACTTAACACTCTTTTTAAATTATCCAATTAACTTTAACTATGTCAGTGTCTAAAAGAGAGTATGTTTAATGTATGACTTGTGGTTTGTGTCAGGTTTGGTCGAAAGATCGCCCTGATGATCTCCCCGGTACTACAGATCACCCTTGGCCTGATCCTAGCTGTCACAGAGTCCCTCACAGTCTACATGGTAGGAAGAGCCATCCTGGGCTTGTATGTGTCAGTGTCTATAAGAGAGTATGTTTATGTATGATGTGTTGTTTGTGTCAGGTTTGGTCGAAAGATCGCCCTGATGATCTCCCCGGTACTACAGATCACCCTTGGCCTGATCCTAGCTGTCACAGAGTCCCTCACAGTCTACATGGTAGGAAGAGCCATCCTGGGCTTTGTATGTGTCAGTGTCTATAAGAGAGTATGTTTAATGTATGACTTGTGGTTTGTGTCAGGTTTGGCCGTAAGATCGCCCTGATGATCTCCCTGGTACTACAGATCACCCTTGGCCTGATCCTAGCTGTCACAGAGTCCCTCACAGTCTACATGGTAGGAAGAGCCATCCTGGGCTTCGTCTGTGTCAGTGTCGTCTTCAGTGGCTTTGTACTTTGTGAGTACTGAATGACTAATGGGCAAAACCTGGTAGCTTAGTTGGTTAAAGTGGGAATCACAGCCTTCAACGTAGACTTTCGTTAGGGAAAATTAACATAGTGATTGCTATGAGGTAAAAGTTTCATTTAAACTTGTTTAGCCAAACCATGTCAATCCAATCCAGAAAGGTCAAAGGCCTATACAAACCCTCACTTCACTCTCAGGCAAAATTCATAAAGAACTATGATATTAAGATCATCACAATTTCAGTAGGTATACACTATGTGAATATTGATGTGAAATAATTTGGACAATTAGGTACTCATATGCCAAGAGCATAAGAGCGTATAGCGTTGGAGGGTGCTACAAAAGGTTAAAAGATAAAAATTCTAAATAATCTGTCCTTGAGTCTCATTGTGCAAAGAAGCGAAAGAAAATTTGCCATCATACACATAACCCATCAGCATTTCCATCAAATGTCTTTCTAGCTTTAACTTTGGTCCTTCTTCCTAGCCATTCTTTCAAACTTCCTCTGTATTTCTCTATAGTATTAGCTGGGGCTAAAAAAATTTTTGAAATGGGGATTTCGAAAAATTTCTTGGCATTCTCCTAGGCCACAAATTTTTTCCTATTTCTTCCTAGCCCTCTTCTTCATAAACCTTCTCCGCCTTCTCCAAAGCATATTCTCCATCAAGGCTGTATTTAACCCATGTGTGTTTGTAGGTATGGAGCTGGTGGGAGGAAAATGGCTGACTATCTCTGGGGTCTCGTATCTTTTCCCTCTGCCATTCAGCTACATGGCTATTGCAGCCATCGCCTACTATGTCAGGGGCTGGAGACATCTTCAGCTAGCCATCACCTTGTCTGCTCTGCCCTTCCTGCTACTATGGTGGTCAGTAGGGTTTTTTTTTATAGTAAACTATGAGTATAGTTAATTTTTTTAAAAGTTAACAGTCTCTTTTGACCTTGCATTTGTCTGACTTTGGTGGTCCTTGAGCTTGTGCTTGTAATGCAAAAGAAAGGGATGGAATTTAAGGGGATGTAAAACCACCCAGAAGACATGGGATTATATTGTAAAATAATCATTGAAGTAATTTATCAATATACTTCTAACTTCTGTAAAGCTCAGGGGCATCTGCCTACCCTTTGATCGCTGCCACTCTTTATGTCTCCAAATTATTTTTACTATATAGCAGTTTACCATTTAGGTTTCACTAGAGGTGTATGTTTAATTTTATCATTTTTTATTTAAAATATACTTTTATGTTGATGAGTTTTTCTGTTGTACCAGGGTTATGCCGGAGTCGCCGAGATGGCTGCACGCCACAGGTCAGATAGACAAGACCATCAGAGTACTGGAGGACGCAGCGAGATTCAACAAGATCACACTTCCCACCAACATTGACAAGATATTGAAACAGGTAAATGACGATTAATTCCCTGATAGGTAAATTAAAGGAAAATTAAAACATTTTCTTAAGTAAGCTCATCTTGTATTATCCTTTGATTTCATCTTTGACTCTTGATAGAAGTAGACGTTCCATTCTCATGAAACAGTGGGTTGCTGCAAGTTTGATAATAAAAATGAACATAGTTGTATTGAGCTACCGGTATTGTGTGCTGCTGTAGAGTATACTATCCATAAATTGTACTGAATCCACATACCTTTTAACCAAGTTAAACTGAAAAGACAACTTATTGTTCAATATAGAATCTTTTATACACTATCAAATTGTTAAAGTATCAACAATTAAAGGAGGAAGAGAGGTTTGACCCCAGGGCCCTCAATGAGAGGCATTTTATTCAACAAGGTTATATTTTAATACAAATTTGTATACAATAACTGGTCCATATTGACAAGATGTCTGCCTTATCAAAATCAAAAGTTTAATGATTCAACTCACTGTTGATGGAATAGAACTCTTTAATTAATCTTAATACAGTAAAACCAGTTCATCTTTACTGTGATATAAAACCTTTAAATACAATTTAGTTACTACAAAACTATTAATTTCAAACTTCTAAAACACAATTTACTATTGTAATCAATGTATTGTTGCAATACTTAAGATAAAATGAGTGAGAATAGTTTTAATGGTTTTTTTGCATTTTCAAATTTAAATAAGTATACCACCAACACTAGAAACAACACAAGAAAAATTGTTTTAATCTCATTTACTGTTGAAGTTAAGTGATTAAGTGGCAGAAAGATTCATATTCTGTCATACAATATTCATTCATGTACAGACAAAAGTTTTAATATGATATCATAATGAATATAAGAACAGTTGAGAAAGAGTTGAAAAAGAGGTTTAAGTCATAGTTCTTGACATTTTTTTGCCGTGGCTTTATATTTCACCTAGGAAAATAAGTAAGTCTACTTATTTTACCGCCGACACATTGTTCTAGTCGTCAGCGTCTGAGATAGAAGGAGGAGCCAAGAGTGGAATCGCTGATCTTTTCCGCACTCCAGCCATCCGACGCATCTCTCTCATCTTGTACGTCGTCTGGTTCTCGACCTATCTTGTGTACTACGGGCTTGTCCTTAACCTCAACAACTTGGGAGGTGATGTGTACGTCAACAGCGTCATCTCTGGTAAGTTAAACGTTGATTTTCCTTCCATCTTCAAAAAGAATGGTCAAACCCTTCCGACTAGAGAATGGTCCGAATAAAGAATGGTTTTGTTACTTTTTGAATTTTGTTTCTGTATACAACAGCATTATATACCCCTTGCTAGTAGAACCGAAAATGCAAACAAAATATAGAACTAAGCTGAAATCAGATGTTGGTCAGAAACTGTCAAAAAAATTATCTCACCACACAAACATTAATTAATAATTTTGTTAAGTATGCCAAGCTGCTCGATATCTTAAAATAAAGGCCCAACCAGATAGATGCAGGATTTAAGAGGTTCATGATGAGCTATTTATCATATAAAAGTTAAATTCCTCAAGATTGAAGGAATATTTGCGGAAGGATGAATGGCAAGTGGTTATCACCATAGAGTTCAGTGCTAAAGCAACAAATTAGATTCTCAGTATGGGAATGAGGAACTCAAACCGCTTTGACTTAAAAAAAATTAAAAATACTGTTTTACCAAACGTAAAATGTGTTCACTACTACAGATCAAAAATAATAAAATCCCAATGGCCAATACCTTAAGTTAGACAATCAGTGTAATTACATATATTAATATCAATCAATTCAAGTGAGCAGCTTCAGTTTCCTGGATGTGTTGAGAAGCCTCTTATCCTGGCTCCTTGATGTTAGGCTCCTCCTCTTCAATTTGCTGTTTATATGTTTATATGTTATCATCATTAGGTATTCTTTTTTATGATTTCCTGCTATTTCTTTCATCGTTAATTCCGATGTTGCTATAATTTTTGTTTTCCCTCCAGGAGCAGTAGAGTTTCCCGCCATCTTACTGAGTATCTTCATCCTCCTCAAGCTTGGTCGTCGTCTGCCGTTGAGTTTGTCTCTGATAGGAGCTGGCATCGCCTGCTTGCTGACTACTCCTGTTCCTTCTGGTTTGTAAAAAAATACAAAAGTGATTTTCTCCATCTATTTAAAAGACACACATTATTTTGTACGTAAAATATTTATTGCTGGCTTGATTCCAAAGCCTTAAATGATTGTGTAAACACATTTTTATTTTTAGTTTTACAAGAAGAAATTGTATTTGTATGTTTTGCCCTTGTTGTAACATATTGAGTTTAAAACACCACTATCCTAACATACATTATTACTTTTATTCAAAATATAATATCCAAAGAAATTCATGTAATGAGAACAAGTCTTGAGAATGAAAAGTTCTAACCGTTCCCCTTCTATATTCTGAGGCTATTTAGACATGATTTATGTCTGTGAAGGCCTCGGTGCATTTATGTCGACTATTTAATAGTCATGAGACTCGATGAGAGTTATAGGTGGTTTTTTGGCGGCAATAAGACGTGTGCCATCACTACACTTGCCATACGTTTTGACCTTATTGTGAAGTGGCATCCCGGTGGTAAGTAAGTCTCAATTTCAGCCAAGCCACTGAGGATGCCACTTCACAAAGAACGAAACGTCTGGAAAACTGTGTATTAGTGACAAAAAACACAGCGGTTGATGCTGAAAACACCAACATATAATGTTTCAGACATGCAGTGGGTGACTATTCTGTTTGCGATGGTGGGCAAGTTCTGTGTGTCATCGAGCAACGTTGTGATGCCTGTCTTCACAGCTGAGTTGTTCCCAACAGTGATGCGCAACTTGGGCGTCGGATCGTCCAATGTTCCAGCCGGAGTTGCTCTTATGCTTGTTCCATACCTTTGGAGGCTGGTGAGTACATCTATTACTTATTATTTAGATTATCCTAATTAATGTGTCAATATTTAGCAAATTGGGGTTTGATTCTCAACACCAATTTTGCTTTGACTTTTTGGGTCTCAGAAAATAGTAATAATTATATTTGCCATCAATAAACATGACCAAATATTTACTCACCGGTACAACTTTTTGGAACAAACGCCTGCAGTTTTCACGTGAAATGCTAGGGGCAATAATTGTGCCCCCCTTCATTCCTTTCTTGTGGGCAAATTTTCCCGTCCTTGTGCCGACAACAAACCTGAAATATCTTACGCCTCTGGGCCCATTTACTTCCCTGCGGAGCAATTCAACCAAATGACTAAAGTCTAATGACTAATGGCTGAAGTCTAAGCCTGAGATGTAATGCAACCTGTGTCTCAAGTTATTATACTTGAATTTTAAGCTTACCTCTCCCAGTTGTAAGTAGATAGTTAGGTCTGGTCAATATAGCTGAGCAGTCTAAGGCATTACCTCTATGGCCAGAAAACGGCACTGTAGACTGAGGGTTCAACGTTGGCCCAAATCAGATATTGTGTGTAGCATCAACATAGCTCACCAATCTATATAGCACAACATGGTGTGAGACCCACCTAAAATGAATGCTGCACAGCTCAGGTAGAAACTGAAATAATGGGATTTGGAAACTATGCAATTTTCTCCTCAAAACTTTTACATAGGATAGGAATTCCCTTTTTACAGTAGGTAGGCCATTTGTAGCGCAGTCTGTACAAAGCCTCCAGCAACACAGTACCTCCATCTAGATGTCTCTGTCCTCACCATCCATCTTCTTCTTCAATCCCCAAAAGTTCCATGTCTTGGTGGACCTGATCCACATAGTTCTTGGTCTTCCCCTGGATCTTCCTCCTTCCATTGTTCCCTCCCAGGTATTTTTCACGATTGATTCTTCTTCTACTCTTAGTACAGAGAAGTCTTTCTTCCCCTCCAGTCCATATAAGTCTCCTGCTTCTTATCTCTCCCACAATGACCGCTTCTTTATACAACTCTCTTAATTTCTGGTTATGCCTTACCCTTTATTTATCATTGTCTTGTGCTATAACACAAGGTTTTTGCCCTAAGGCAAACATTTTACTTGGACTGTTGTTGCAGTTGATGGTTTTACCAGTCATCCAAGGTCTTGTGGGGGTTGAGCATTTGGTCACCTCAGAAAAAAACAAATGTTCAGAAACAAACAAAAAATTATCTACTACAGAAAAATACCGCACATTTACAAACAAACACTGCATTAAACATAAGATTTACTACTTATCTCTGCCTCCATAGTAAGCACTAAGCTTTAAATGTTTTCTTTTGTTTAAAGAAGGACATGTACTTGGCGATGCCGATGAGTGTGCTAGGAGTGTTTGGTATTGTGGGAGGGTTGGCTGTATTGCTACTACCAGAGACTCATGATGCGGGTCTTAGCGATACTGTGCCTGTGTCATCTTCTGGAAAATCGTGAGTAATATGCAAAGTCCATAATAGTTTTAAGTTTGGCTGATTTGATCTTTTCAGTGAGGATGCTGATCTAATGGTTAGATCCTGGGACTTATATCCTAAAGCAAGGAGATATTTTCTATCTTTTGACTGGGACGGGTGGCGTCGTCCTGTAATCCAGCTACTGGGAGGTCACGAATTGTGGATATTTATAGGGATGCACTGTGGATGCGATGCTCCCTGGTGTGGATTAACGTCCGCACTAGTGAGTACTACGACTATCCGCAGTATTATCCTGATAATTAGACCAATTCGTAAATTACAAGGAAAAATGTGGTTCGGATTCCACTATAAACTGTAGGTCCCTTAGTTGCCATTAGCTGTATGGGCTATTAATTAACAGCTGTGTCTAAGGAACATGTCGGCCTTAGTCACTAACAAGACTACAAGATCGCGCCACTCATCCTACACTCATCCTTCACTCATATTTGGGTTAAAATACGCACATAGTGGCGTCCCCATCTTAAATAATTGAATTGAATTGAATTGAATTGAATTGAATTGAATTGAATTACTACCCCTAAATGACTTACAACTGTAAAAATACCTTTACTTTCTCCCCCTGTACTAGAACATTTTGTTAAAACTTTCGAGTTTGAGTGTTTGATGGAAATCCGTTTTTGGCCCCCCTGAACAAAGTGCTTTTTTAAGCAATATCCTTGTTTTAAGTAGTATATACAAATATAACTGAGCTATTAACAAATTAATTGAATTTTTACAGAGAGAAATCTACAGAGAAAAGTGAGATTACCAAGGCTTAAGTTGGTTTTGGAACGAGTATCTGCGAGATCAGATCATCGAGTCGAGTCACCAGACACAGAAATGTCCTAGAACTCAACTCATCTCCACCGAACAACTACAGTCGTGACTATGGATGTTATATAACTTTACCTCCTTAAAAAATGAGTTTTGACTTTCATAATGTAACATGGGATTCATGAGGGAGGATGAAGTATGAGGATAAGTTTGAAAAACGTTAAAAAAATAATCAAAGTAGAAGAAACATTTCAACAAACTTATACAATGGGAAAAAGAAAATTAATTTTTTTTCTTTGAGAACTTACTATAACTTTATTTTAAGATAATTTTGTTCTAATGGCGAATATGCTTGTTTTACATAAAAGATTTTTACCATTGCAAAAGAAAAACAATCCCAACAATGTTAAGTTGAAATTTCAGGGTTCTAAATAATCTTTGGGCTGTGAATTTTGTAAGGAATAAAAGAATGGAGAGTATAATAGGAATTTATTTTTACTAAATTGTAGTAGAATAAAGTTTAGCCTTCAATGCTTTGTTTACTGATATAGATACGAATATATTGTGTGTGTTTTTTTTACCATAATATAAGTACCAGATTTCAAGGCTTTTGTGTAATTAAATATAAATTTTATCTTAGAATCTTATAGAATGCTGTTGAGTCTTGAAATATTTAATTCGTTTATCACTTAAATTTCCATGACTGTATGATGTAAATTTGTATTCAATACTAACACATTTTTGCAACAACATGATGAAAAACTTGTATCAAACTATTGAGTTTTTTTTAATAACTGAAAATTTGTTGAAATTGTGACAAATTAAATTTTTTGCTATATAAGTAACATGTTCCCCTTTACTAGTTTCATGTAACTCAATACAAAATTTATTTTTGGTTTTTGGTTTCACCTTATTCATCCTTTAAATATATATACAGTATGCTGTATTCAAAATTCAAAGAGATTTTTTTTTAATTTTAACACATCAATGATGCATTTTATTTTGTATAATATTTTTCGCTCTCTAACTATATGACTGGACTGTTTTTTTTTTATTTCTTTTACTTCGATGTTAGTTTTATCAGGTATATAAAAGGTCATAAAGATTTTACATAATATTGGAAGAAATTGTAATATTATGAAATTACATAAGTATTTTTCTTATTGGTGTATTTTTATAGTGATATTACTAAAATAAAATATTAGAGTTTTATAGTGAACCTGTAAGTCCTTGATGTTATTGTATAGTTAGAATAGCATTATTTCTTTATTGAAATTATGTTATTATTTTAAACAGGGTGCAACGATTAGTTTTAGTTAATAATAATTTGAAGTTTAAATGTATATAGTATGTGCATGATATTATTATTTTATTGTATGTATTTTATGTTCTGGATAGGTTAAATTATCGAGCGCCCATGACCCAATAACAATGGATTAAAATGACTGAAATTCGAAATATGGATTCACTAGAAGTTAAAGTAAATATAATAGTTTCAATATGCTGTGACAACTCTTTTCTAAGCCTGTTTATAATTTTAAATGTCACTATTGCTCTAACAAATACTGTATAAATCTTGAAACTAGAATAGCACAATAAATTCATTAAGATCTGGTTTTGTTGACAGTCCAATAATTTGTACAACGATATTTTCCAAAAGCATTTTTTCTACATGTAGGCTTGGATGTAAAAACAAGTTTTTATGTTCATTGTGGATGTAGCCTCCGGATTGCCAAATAATATTAAAAAGGTTTAAATACCTGCTATCAAGCAATCCATTTAATTGCAGTTGCAACTAGTTTCGACTCCTATGTGGAGTCATCATCAGGCGGTACAAGGACTTCTTCTTTCTTCATATGAAGAGCGTCATATTTAACATGTAAAAATAAATAAACATTTACACACGACACAAAACACGTTACGGACACAGAAAAAAAAACAAAAATAGAACCGAGCTTAAAAACATTTACTGATCAGTTTGGACAACAGACGACGCTAACCCGACGGAGTTTAAGTCCATAAACTCCGTCGGGTTAGCGTCGTCTGTTGTCGTAACTGATCAGTAAATGTTTTGTGTCCGTAACGTGTTTTGTGTCGTGTGTAAATGTTTATTTATTTTTACATGTTAAATATGACGCTCTTCATATGAAGAAAGAAGAAGTCCTTGTACCGCCTGATGATGACTCCACATAGGAGTCGAAACTAGTTGCAACTGCAATTAAATCGATTGCTTGATAGCAGGTATTTAAACCTTTTTAAGTTTTTGTGGAAAATAGTTTTGCCATCTATATAAGTTTTAGCAGTTAATTTGTTTTTAATTCTCTAATAATCTAACAGAAATTGTATCAACGTAGACCTATAAAAGTAGTTTCAATTTATGTATTTTCCAACCAGTTATATCGATTATTACCTTTCTTACCTTGTATTATAGTTATTTTCATTGTGTGTTTTGTATATTTTCTACATTAAGCTATGTATAATATTTTTTACCTGTACTTATTTGTATTATTATAATGTTACCAGTGTATACTGTCAAAAGCTTTAATAGATTATTTGTTCTTCATTGAATGTTGTTTTGTATTGTATTGTTAGGAGCAATAAAATACTTAAATTATAATTCTTTGATATTTTACTGTATCTTCTCCTTGATTTCATAGCTTTATCTAAAAAAATCTTTAAGAATTTGCCAAGTGATAAGTTTTAGGGCACTCCAAATCCAATATTTTACTTTTCATTTGAGTTTACATAGTACATGGGCATCTTAGCTTCCAGACAATTTGATTTTCTCAGTAATTTTGTGTGTTTTTTTTTAAATTTCGAAATAAGTTTTCATTATATCAACACTCATAGTCATAGCAAACCTTTGGTTCTATTTAAAGAATGTAGTGTTCTGTATAGGGATATTAACCCAAGTATAATCTTAAATGGTAAATAAATGTTGATATTAAACTTCCAATAACAACCAATATCACTTTATGAAAGTATGTATTGATAACGATAAAAATATATCTTCTGATACATCACTATCAATAGTATATCAATAAATTTATCACCAATATATTGAACATAAAAGTAACTAATAGTTATCTTCCATCCATGGTCATTAAAACATGTTGCATAGCAAAAAAAAAACTCATTTCATGCATAATGGTTCCATGTAACGTGACACAAAGTCTGCTGTACCTACATTCCTTCCAGTTAGCTTCTTTCGTTTAATCTACTGAACTTTCCCCTTCTTTTTTGTCGTCACCACTTTTCCAATAACAAAGTGAAAAAATCTGCAATTAATATGTTTCCCTATCAATTTTGTTTTCTATAAGTTACCTTAAAAGTATACATACTTATATAACTTATTATCTTTGTTTCAACAAAACAATTGACAATGATAAATGTAGGTCTTCGAGTGATGACCAAGTCGTTGAAAGAGTAAAACTAGAGGCCGACATTTTGGATGCGTAGCAGCTATCCATCTTTGGGGCCAACTACTATTCTGCTGCAGTTGAATTGAATAGTAGTTTGCTACGGAGATAAATAGCTGCTACGCATCGAAAACTTCGGCCCTAGTCCTACTCCTTCAAAATTGTGGTCATCACTCGAAGACCGAGATTTGACAATCTGAAAGCAATCATGGAAATCTATCATCAAAAATTGACAATGGGATTTCTTGAGAAAATAATCAACAGGTTAAGACTAGTTTTCACCACTACCTCACTAGAAGATTCCCTTTTGTCAGAGCTTGGGCTAGAGGAGTTGCTACTGGAGCTTTCGCTGTCGGACTCGCTATCAGACGAGCTCTCCGTTGAGCTTCTCTTCTTGTGTTTCTTGCTGTCCGAGTCTTCTCGCTTCACCCGCTTAGCTGGCTGTGTTATCTCACCTTCTGCCGCTCTTTTGCCAACCACAGCCTCCTTAATATCTACCTCAGCTTCCACCATTTCTAGCACAGAGTCCATAAGGTGTTTCACAGCTGCCATTCTTGTCTCCTGCAATTTCAATCACAATCCAATCAAAAATCGTTAAAGAGAGAAATTAATTATTAATTAACCTAAGATTACATTTGACAGAGACAATTTTTTTAAGAGAAATGTTTGTTTTTGTTTGTTTGAAAATCATGACAGTTATGATAGTAATGCTCTTGATATCAACTTTTGAATGAATGAAGCAGCCAACCAACTACATATTGTAAACTCAGCTTACCTCAGAATCAATACATACAGGGTGTCCCAGACCAACCGGCCAGCTTCTATAGATCCAATATGAAAGCAAATAGAAACCTAACTGCAACTGGAACCCCCTATTTTGACCCTAAGGAATTCAGCAAAATTATTTTTAAACCCCAAAAAGCACCCCAAAGGGCAGATTTGGGGGGGGGGTGGTTTTTGGGAAATTTTCAAATGTAAAGGGGGTCGTGTTATACCTCATTTTAAAGGTCTTTGATTCCTGAGTATTTTAGTGGAAAAGACTTTTAATGATTTCCATCCCTATTTACATGGTGTTCAAAAACCTACAAAAAATATACCTTTGATCTACTTTTCACTGCAAAGAGGTGAAATTTTGTGGGGGGTTAAATTTGTATAGCACTTTAATTGCTAAAAGAGCTTTAAAAAAACTCTGGTTTCAACCCTTTTCCAAAATTGTTTACTTATGTTATTGTTTACTTATTACTTGAGTGGTTTGTTCTCAGATTGTTCAAGGGATTTAAGAACAACAGCATGCATTCTATAGTACAACTGGATACAAAATATAAAAAGAAAATATGAAAAAAGTAACAAACAAATTTTAGAAGTTCAGAGTAAGAAAAAATAAAATTTAACAGGAAGTCATAATAATCTGTAACAAACTGTACTTTTCTATATCCATACTCTAAATTTTAGAGGGGTAGAAAATCATCAGAGAAAGACTAGTTGACTTTTAACTATACTTTTACAAAATATAACTATTTTTACTGCCGTATCTTAGTCTTTATGTCTCAAAGACTAATAATTTTATGGAGGTTATTACAATAATAGCATAATGTATTTTTTTAGTACATAATACCCCTCCCCCTGCAGCAAACCTGCAGACTAAACAAACTTCTATTTAACTAGTAAGATTTTTGCAAAAATATTTCTTGATAATTGTCAGATTTATTCCCCGTTTAAAAGTAACATTAGATTTAACGAGTACTGAGGTTTGATTCTACATGAAAGGAAAAAGGTTTTTTTGTTTATAATAGTTGTTTTAAAAACCTGTGAGTAGGGAGTATTAGTGCCTACTCCCTACATACATCTTACATAGACAAATGAACATTTAATAAGTTAGTGAGTGTTGTGGGGTAAATACAGTGGTCCCAGACTTATATTTTGCTGTGAGGACCAACCTCCCTGTTTCCTTATTAAGAGGCAAGAACAAATCCATAGTAACAGTTAAAAATATGTTACAGATAAAAATTTAACTATTATTAAAATTGTCATGGAAACAATTTAAACCAGTTGACATTTAAAATTGAACACAAGAAGATGTACCGTACGTGAGTCTAGATTAATATCAAACTTTAAGATTAGTTAAGTTGTACAGTAGTCAATGGTTGTAGCATTAAACCACATTGTAAATAATTATGTCCCGAGTTAAAAAGAATCTTTCATTACTGACAAAGTGTGCACTAAGGAAGAATACCACTTCTATCCTGGAGGATAGGTCACTACTTCTGTGTGCTTAGCCTTAAATGTTTGTATTACTAAAGCACTCAAGGTCAAAACTGGTTTGGTAAGCTAAATAATGTGGCAAGTGGGTGAGAGTCCGCTGGACTTTGTCACTCAAAACTGTTGTTGTACAGGTAGATGTCGCTGAACCAACAAGATACGAAGAGTTTACTAGAGAAATACTCTTCACTTCTGCAAACCAACCATTATTTAGGCCCTCCTTTAAAGTTTCAATAGAAAACTCTAAACAAATTATATTATTTAACTTGATTTAAAAATAAAATACTAATCCTAACTAATATATTTTACATTTTATACACAATTAGGAGTTTTGAATTACTAAACCATGAAGTATCACAGTAAACAGTTCCAAGAGGTTTGTTGTGATCTATTTTTTATGATAATAAATTATGTTTGTAAAAACTATAAAAACATTAAATTCATTATTTTCAAATTATCAACATTTTTGATACACAGATAAAAAACACGACACAATTTTCAATTCCGTGAGATGAATGATTATTTCAAGTGGCAGAGTACTCCTCAGTCACCCCATAATTTGGCCCGAATTCCAAATTTGTCAGGGTACCTTAGGAGGCTTTTAGACGTAAAAAAAAACAACTAATGATCGTGTAGGCAATGCATCAAGGACTGTGTCCTTTCTTTGGATTCCGCTTCAAAATCTGTGGTAGCCAGGTACTGTTGATCAGTGGGGTGTTTGTTGTTGCATTGACTAGTGCCAGAATATCCTCGGTGGAGTGGCGCCCGGCTTGAGGAAGGCCCAATGTCGGCAAACATTCTCTGATAACACTGAATTTCGGAGTCTGAATGACTCAGTCCCTCAGATGGTAGAGGTTTCTGTATACAGGGGGCCACTGAGTGCTGCAGTGGTGGGTGTGTAGGTCGTCTTGGGTTCTGCCCAGATTGTCTGCACATCGCTTCTACTGTTTGATCCCTCTAGGGTGCGGATATAAAAAAACCTATGAAATACTCCCTCAAAACTCCCTGATACAGTAGGAATGATAGGCTCCCAAAATTTATAGTAGATCTGCGACAACTTCCCTTCTAGTGCCCCTTGACTCCGACCCTAGGGTCGTGATAAGCATACAGGGATACCCCCATCAACTTTCAAGACTAGAAGAAGAAATGAAACACTGAACATCTGACCTGTTCCATTAATTGCGACTCTACGGTTGGATCAAGATAAGCATACCGTACATGGACTTCCCTCAACAATTCAAACAAAAAGAAACAAAGAAGAACAAAAAAAGAAGACACTGCTTCAAAAAGCCATCATAGATGCTGTCACGTCAAAAGTGGAAACAAAATCCACAACAAAGGCAAGTTTGAACAATCAATGCAATTTACATTGAAAATCACTGGATTGAGAATGAAGACAGACTACGTAGAACACCCAAGTCTGAAGAAGACCATGAAACCTTGG